AACAACAACAACTAACATTACTCATAGGAGATAGTCTCAACAGTAAACTTGGACATTTTAGCAATTTTAAGTTCTTGTCCACATTTTTCTTCCATTCTATTAGGATCCATCTATTGTGGCCTTGATGAAAACTGTCAGTAGTGGTATGAATCATAATTTAAAAAAATGGTTACACTTTTCATTTTTACTATTTTCGTCCTTAACCTTTGTCCAAGACTTATAAATTTTGATGTGCTCTTATTAAGGGCATTGTATAGTTATTGTGTGGTTAGTAATTTACTATTAGTACTTAAAATCTTTTATTTCTTTAAAGAATAACAAAAAAATAAGAAATTTGTCTTACTCTTTTGGATAGTTCAGTACTTAGTCATTGAATTTGTTATTTTTATTCTGTAGTCTTTGACTAGGAGATATAGAATATAAATCTTACAAAAGGATGTTTCAAGATATGTGATTCTAAGGTGACATTCTTCAAAAACATATTATTCTTTCAGAAACAGTTTTTACTGGGCCTAGCTCACCCTTACCCTCCCTGGGAAATGGGAGTGAAACTTCGCTTGGACCAATTGCACAGCCAAAGAAAATAAGAGGAATTGGATTTGGAGATATTTTTAAAGAAGGCTCTGTGAAACTAAGGACAAGAACATCCAGTAATGAAACAGAAGAGAAAAAAATGGAAAAGGTAAATATGATTTTACTTAGATTGCTTGTAAGCATTTTTTTAAAATGAAGTCAATTTGCAACTTGTGGCATTACTTTTTGTAAAAAAAAGATTTCATTTATGAAAGAGAATGCTGTCTGAAATTATTTTCTACACAAATTTATTATAATACAGACTTCAAAAAGTTTGCAGAAGAATGAAATTGAAAAATAATGGAATTTTTCCACAAACTTTAAAAATCTCCCTGCATAATGTTCATTTTTGATTGCTATAAATTTAGAATGCTTGTTTCCTGGAGCTTTAACATAAACATTTATTAATGGACACTTTAAACTTATACATTTCACATAAGTCTAAATAGAATTTTTTTTATGTTTCAAAGCTAAAAATTCTGTATGTGTGTCTTAATTTGAAGAAGATCTAAAATGGACCTTTTTAAAAATAGTTTCACATTGATCAGTTGAGTAGGCATTGCTTAACTTTCTTCTACCTAGTCAAGAATGGTTAAATTTAACTAATCTCTCTCTCTGACTGTATGAATAATTTTATTTTTTCATTAGCATTTTACTCGCTTTATGAAAGAAAGTGAATATACTAGAATTTTAAGGTGTAAAAGGTGCTTTAAAATAAGCTTTACTTTAAACTCCTTATTTTGGGGGAAAAATAGCTGCAATCTTTAAAATACCCTTTTCAGAGCTGTTTGTGGTTATAGTACCTTAGTAATTTGAATAGTAGACTTTCCCCTTGAGTTTTTTTTTTTTAACTGTTTTATTGTGAATTATGTAATAGTTTACATGGGAGAATATTAACTTTACATTCATCCTGCCGTATATCGTTATATTGCATGGTTATAATCCCCTCCATGCATCATCAAGCAACCAAAGTTTATACCCTGCAAGCCTCCCCCCCTGTTTGCCAGCACACAACCCCTTTCTCCCTCTCTGGGTCTAGAGACCCCAACTAGAGGCCCCAGCCGCTCCATCTTTCCATATCATTGTCTCTGTCTCCATCTCTGATGTCACTGTATCTCTGGGTAGGGTCACACACTCTGCTTTTCTTACTTGATCGTCCCAGGGGCTTCCACTCCTGGTCTTCAAAGTCAACTACTCCCCTTGTTTTGCAACAAAATGTCTTACCTTTACATTTCTAACCCTCACAGTCAGTCCTGATAGTAATTATTCACTATTGTGCCACAAGAGTGCTATCCCCATCTCCTTTCATTAGCCCCGCCCAGACAGATTGGATACTACTCAGTGGAGATTCTACCTCCTCCGTGTGCTCTACATCTAGACTCCTTCTTGAAAGCTTGTAAGGCAATTACTTCTTGTTCTTTGTAGAACCCCATTTTGGGTAGCCAGTGTCCAAGTTGCCCATCTCTGTCTACCCTATATAAAGGGGGTGGGGATGATCCTCGCTGTAAAGATCTTTTCCCTTTTTTGAGCTACTTAATCCATTAGTGTAGGTCACATTCATCAAATTGTATCAGATTACTTTTTTCCTCTTCTTTCTTCTTCTAGTGGAGCTCTGATTATCCAGCCATTGAAGCCAGGTTAAGTGGGTATTATCTGCAAGTGTGGGTGTTCTTGTGCATATGCCCTCTCTTCTTATCAGCTGGACACTTCATTCTCCACACTAGTCCTCTGTGGCTATGTCACTGACACTGGGCCCAGGAGTCCCCAGGTCTTACCAAACTGATGGCCAACCAGGTCTCCACCCGGGTTCACATGAATGTATTGAACGTGGTTGGACTTAGCTTGCAGCTTCATTGCTGTTTTTCCCTCACTTCCCCTTATCAGTGACCAGCGTAGTCACCAATCAGAGCACGTGTCTGCTCGTGTATTCCCACTGAGTCTTAGTCTTGGAAGGGGGTTTTCCCTGAGGGGACCCGACCAGTTGCCTTGATGTCTCTGAGTGAGCAGCTTGCTTGTTTTTGTAGTAATCAGTTGGACTGCCGTTATTGTTTTGTATTTTTCCTGTTGGTCTTTCTTTCAAGAAGTATCTTCTGTTCTCCAGGCTGGTTTGCTTGTCCTTTCAAGTGGAAATTTCCCACCTCAGAAGATTCTGGATGGGGTTCAGGATTCCCCCTATGTTCTTATGTAATGCAGAGGCTCCACAGGAAGCCTCCTTCCCTGGGCACATTGTAGCACCATTTAGGTATTCCAATCAGTTCCTCTAGACTTCTGTGTTTTGATTGGTGACATACATTCTAAAGCTTTATTCATAGAATGTTCTCACCATTTCCCCCCGATTTTTCTGGCTTATTGTAATAATCATTAGGGTTCAGGAAACAGAATTACTTTCTACCTCACCTTTTCTTAGCTCTGAGAATGTCTGACTTTAAGATTTGGGGACCTAATTAATTCTTAATTTTAAAAGATTCGGGAAAAGATTAGAATGCTCATAGGTTTTGGAATTATGCTGTATAACCATATAACTGGTAGGAATGTTGGAGAAGCAAGCTCCTGCAATTAAGAAGACTATTAGCCTAGATGATCTGGGACTCCTAATCTGTAACCCAAGATTACATTTGAATAATTTTTATTTGATTAATGATTATAGTAACTTTTCAGTCACCATTAGTAATGTCTACTACCTAGAGCAATTTGAGGATCACCTGCTTTGATGACTGATCTAGGAATTTTATAAAGTAGGGAGCACATTTGCTATGTTTGATGATGACATCAGGTTGGAAGATGAACATGGGAGAGATTAAAGTGAGTAATTTGGAAGACAAAAACACAAAGATAGTAAGTTGACAATGTGTTCAGATATTAAACTAGTGAAATCTAACGTCAAATGTAATGTTACTTTTTGGGGAAAAAAGCAAGAAAGCACCAGTACAAGAAAGACTTACTGTAGCCAGTTACAATGGGAAAGTATCTATAGGACTATATTTTTTTGCTTGTAACATAATGTAATCTAGGTGTTTTCATTCTGATAGCAACAATGAAATATAAAGACTTCTTTTCTTCCCTAAATCTCTTATCACACTTGGAAGAACTTTAGGGCTTCTGTGTAAGAATATACTTTCTAGGTTTCAATCTGGGCTCCACTTCCAAATTATTGTTACTTCCAATTACTTTTCTCATATATAAAAAAAATAAGTAATAGTGCCTGCTTTATGCACGCTTGTGAGGATTAAGTTATATTGTATATGTTCTTAGGCCAGGAATTGGTACATAGTAAATTCTCAAAAGCTGTTACTGCAATTACTTTAGAGGTTTTAAAAGAAATGACAGTGCTGTAATACAAGCATGAGAGCACGTAATCTTAAAATAGGGAGTTTTCAAACTTAGTTCTAAGCTCTACATTAAGGAGATTTTTATTTTTATTTTTTTCATTGCTGAATTACTCACCTGACTGTAAATACCATTCATGGAAAGCTAACTAGCTATAAATGGAAACTTTAACAATGCTATATTTATTCTAACTTAAAATAGTTGATACTTCCCTTTTCTATTCCAGCCGTTACTCATACAATCAGTAGGATCCAAAACTCAGAGTACCGAGGTAACAAAAACAGACTCTGAAGGCAAAAATAAAGGTAAGATTTCGAATAAAATCTTTACATTAGGAATAATAGAAGCATAGTAAAACTAATTATTAGACTTATTAAAGACATTTGTTACACTATATTACTTAGAGCAATTAAATTTCCTAGATGTAAGCACCATGAAGTCAAGGATGTTGGTATTCCTGTTCAATGATATATTCTTCCCATGCAGTTAGCACTGTGCCTGGAACACAGTTGACAATAAGTGTTGGAATGAATGATCAATATATTATTTAACTTAATATATAGTATTGGCTGAAATGTTAAAATTTAAAGATGAATTGTAAAATTCATCTTTAATCGTTTGTAATGCACTTTTGTGCTGCATAAGAGTTAATAAAGTATTGTTGAATGAACCAATTTGTATAAGCTACAGTATTTTCATTGTTTATTTTAGCGAGGGAATATTGCAGAACATTATTTGTCTATGAGGGTGCTAATGAAGATGAACTTAGTTTTAAAGAAGGAGAGATAATCCATTTGATAAGTAAGGTAAGATAAGCTAATTCCATTCTCTAATGCGTCATTTAATTTTATTCATACAAGTATTTTTAAAACTTCTTATAGTCCCCCTAGAATGTATATTTCCCCTAGAATGGGACTTTGGCTTGCTTGTTTGTGTGCCCTGAGTACTTAGTAAATATTGAACAAAATTATTTTATTGTCTGTCTTTGTCATGTTTGATTTACTGAGAATTATTTTTACCATCATATTGTTGTTGTGTTTTTTTCTTAATTCCTACACCTCACGTCTCTGTTCTTACTTCTCATTCTACCGTATTCTATTTTTCCTATTTACTTTATTGAACATTGTTTGCAATATTAAAAAGAAAAATAGGGAAGCAATCTAAATGTTCATCAATATGTAAATGGTTCTGAAACTCTTCATACTATTTCAAAGGAATCCTCGTGTGGTGTCGTTGTATAAACACTGGACCACAGGTTGGTTTGAACAGTATTCAGACTCACTAGCCGCTCTTCCAAAACCCTAAACGGGTCACTATAAGTTGGAATGGACTCTACGGCACTTAACAACAATATTTCAAAGAATGGGATAGGTTCTTAATTGTTATTGTTGTAAAGTACCCTCAGATTGGTTCCGACTTATTGTGACCCTATATAGGGTTTCCAAGGGGCAGCTGTCCATCTTGAACCACTGGCTTTTCAGTTCAAACCAACCTTACAGCCCAGTGCATTAACCTGCAGTGCCACACCAGGTTCATAATGATCTAGAGTGAATTCCAAGGCAAAATTTAAAAAAAAGGGCTATAGTATTGGGTGGGAGATGGGGGACAGAACCTTTTTATAACTACTTATAATATGGGAAAATTACTTGTTTTTGTTGTTCCTATAATCTTAAAGAATGATTTTTGAAAAATATCCTGTTATCAGATGGTTTAGGGGATGTAATTTTAAATATTCATGCAATTTGGACTGATGATACCTAATTTCTCATGTAAGGGTCGGTTTTGAGAAGGGACTATAGATAATCTTGTTCATTTCTAAACCAAGTGAGTCCTTTTTTTTTTCCCTTGAAGTATATAAAATATGAAGAGTGTTAGATTAAGTACAGTTTGGAAAGTCATTCATTCATTCCATCCTTTCTGCCTGCTCTCCTGCCTTCTTGTAAACTTTCCTTCTTCCCTCCCTGCCTGCTTGCCTGCTTTCCTCTCTGCTTTCTGTGCCTTCACTCTGTTGCCCTCCCCTCTTCAGTTTTCCTGCCTCTTCTCTTATTTCCCTGTTCCAGATCTCTCCCTTCCTTTCCTATTCCCTCATTCCCATGCTTGAGAATCTTTAAACCTTGTGGTTTTCTTTGAGGGGGAAAGGGGATTTAGAATAGGGGGAAGAAGAATGGAATAATTTTGCTATTTTTTGTTAATCTTCTCCATTTAAAGTTAATTCCCAGTATCTTAATTATTCTTTGTTTTTTAGGAGACTGGAGAAGCTGGCTGGTGGAAGGGTGAACTTAATGGTAAAGAAGGAGTATTTCCAGACAATTTTGCTGTTCAGATAAATGAACAAGATAAGGACTTTCCAGTAAGCTTCTGTCAATGATGATAATACTTTATAAAAAACGTTTTAGCAATATTTTCCCCCCACAATACAGATTGTTTTTGCATTGTAACTGATTAGTTTTTATGAGGGGGGTTCCAGATTTAGATATTCAAATCAAAATTATTTTAAGGATAGTAAAACAAGACAAAGGTTCAGTTTTGCTGTTCATCTCTGCTTTATTTATTTTTGTCTGACACCAGGAGAAAGACTTGGCAATCTAGTTCTGTAAAGATTATAGCTAAGAAAACCTTATGGTGCAGTTCTGCTTTGTCACATGGAGTGACAGTGGGTCGAGATTGACTTGATGGCACCTAACAATATCCTGCTTCCACACAAAACAAAACAAAAAATAGACCTTTTTTGCATTGTTATGGGACAATTGTTTTGAGAGTAATCCAGATTTATATGTTCAAATAAAAATGATCATTATTATTTTAGAGGTTATATTGTGAATTATGTGATGGTTTACATGGGAGAACATTAGCTTTACATTTGTCCTATCCTATGTTGTTTCATTGCCATGGTTACACGCATCATCAAACAACCAAAGGGTATACCCCACAATCCTTCCCCTGGTCATCAGCACACAGCCCCTCTCTCTCTCTGGGTCTAGAGTCCCTAGCCATTCCCTTTCCAGGTCATTGTCTCTGCCTCCATCTCTGTCATCACTGTTTCTCTGGGTAGGGTCCCGCACTCCGCTCTTCTTCCTTGATGGTCATGAATACCTCCGCTCCTAGACTGCAGTCAACTACTCCCCTCGTTTTGCTACAAAACATCTACCATTAATTACATTTCCAACCCTCGCAGTCTGTCCTGATAGCAGTTATTCACTATTGTGCTATAAGAGACCTATCCCTATCTCCTTTTATCAGCCGCGCCCAGAAAGATTGGATACTACACAGTGGAGATTCTACCTTCCTCCGTGCCCTCTGGATCTAGGCTCCCTCTTGAAAGCTTGTAAGCCAGTCACTTCTTGCCTTTGTAGGCCTCCTGCCCTCCCATTTTGGTAGCCAATGTCCAAGTTACCCATCCCTGTCTACCCTATGTACCAAGGGGGTGGGAAGGATCCTCGCTGTAAAGATTTGTTCCCTCATTTGAGCTACTGCATCCATAGGTATAGGTCAAGTTCATCAAATTGTATCAGATTACTTTTTTCCCCACTGTTTTCTTCTTCTAGTTGAGTTCTGATCATCCAAGCATTGAAACCAGGTCAAGTGGGTATTGTCCTCAAGTGTGGGTATTCTTGTGCATATCCCTTCACTTCTTATCAGCTGGATGTTTCTCTCTCTACTTTAGTCCTCTATGGATATGTCACTGACTCTGGACCCAGTAGTCCCCAAGTCTTGTCGTAATACTGGTCAACCAAGTCTCCACCCGGGTTCACAGGAGTCTCTTGAACGTGGTCGGGCTTAGCTTGCTGCTTCATTGCTGTTTTTCCCTCACTTCCCCTTATCGGTAACCAACATGGTCACCAGTCTGAGCGCATGTCTGCTCATGTATTCCCATTGAGTCTTAGTCTTGGAAGGGAGTTTTCCCTGAAGGTACCCCGACCACTTGCCTTGATGTCTCCTGGGTGAACAACTTGCTTGTTCTTGAAGTAGTCAGTTGGACTGCTGTTACTGCTTTATAGTTTTCCTGTCGGTCTTTCTTTCAAGAAGTATCTTCCGTTCTAACTGCTCCAGGGTGGTCTACTTCCCCTTTCCAGTGGAAATTTCCCATCTCAGAAGATTCTGGATGGGGTTCAGGATTCCTCCTATGGTCTTAAGGTAATGCAGAGGCTCCAAAGGAAGCCTCCTTCCCTGAGCACATTGTAGTCCCGTTTTTAGGTATTCCAATCAGTTATAGGCAGAAGGCAGACTTACAAGCTTTCTATGGTGATATTTCTGGTTATTCCTTCCTCTCTCCCTCAAGTGTCTATTTTATAATAGTATGCAAGGGAAACCAAGATTCAAAAGACAGCCAACCATCTTAACATTGTTTCTCCCTTTTTGCCCATTCCAACCATGCCTCATTCCTGTATCCCAGAGCCCCTGTTGTTCCAAGGTTGTGAATACATTATTATTTACCTCTGTCCTATTTAACCCATGCAAACCTGCCTAATTGTTCTTCCATCCCCCTCCCCTTTATGGTTTATTGCCCCCGTCCCTAGCACCCAGATGATCCTGTGTTTATTCCCTACCATGTGCTCCATCTCACCCTACCCACACGTCTTGGTATCCAGCAAAGAATGCCTGCCCCCCCCCCCCATGGGTTCTTTTTCTTATTCTTTTACAATAGTGGTCCTATGCAGTATTTCTCCTTTTGTAACTAATTTCACTCAACTAATGTCGTCTAGGTTCATCCATGTTATACGGTGGCTTTCAGCTTCTTTGTTATTCTTCAAAGTAGCATAATATTCCATTGTGTGTATGTACCACAGTTTGTGTGTCCATTCTTCAGTTGATGGGCACTTAGGCTGTCTCCTTCTTTTTGCTGTTGTGAATAGTGCTGCTATGAACATTGGTGTGCATATATCTACTCGTGTTATAGCTCGTATTTCTTGTGGGTAAATGAATTGCTGGATCATAAGGTACTTCTATTTCCAACCTTCTGAGGAAGCACCATATTGCTTTACAGAGTGGTTGGACCATTTTGCAACCCCACCAGCAATGCAGGAGCACCCCAGTCTCCACATCTTTGCCAACATTTATTGTCCTCTACTTTTTTGATCTTTGCTGTTATTGCTGGTGTGAGATGATATCTCATTGTTGTTTTGATTTGCATCTCTCTAATGAGTAGTGATTGTGAACATTTCTTCATATGTTTGTTGACTGCCTGGATCTTCTTCTTGGTGAAGTGTATGTTCATGTCCTGTGCCCATTTTAAAATTGGGTTTTTGTCTTTTTATTGTAGAGGTGTTGTAGTTTCCTATATATTTTAGAAATGAGACCCTTGTCTGATGTTTCATTGCAAATGATTTTTTCCCATTCTGTAGGTTCCTTTTTTACTCTTTTGGTGAAATCTTTTGACACAAATAAGTTTTTTTTTTCATTTTTAGTATGTCCCAATCATCTATTTTGTATACTTTTGTTTGTGTAGTTTTCAAATGTTTGGTAGTCTGTGTATTCCCTGAATTAGAGCCTATTTGTCCCTATTTTTTCATTGATGGTTTCATAATTCTGGGATTAATATTTAGGTTTTTAATCCATGCTGAGTTGGTTTCAAATCAAAATTATTTTAATGATAGTAAAACAAAACAAAAGGTCAGTTTTGTACTTTATCACTTTTTTTTAAGTCTCTGACAAAAGAAGAAAGACCTAACAAGCTGGTTGTCTAAAGATTGCGGCTCAGGAAATTTCATGGCAGTTCTGCTGTGTCACATAGGGTTGCTGTGAATCACAATCGGTGTGATGGTACCTAACAACAATACGAAGTCCTAGTGTGATTTGGTGATACAAGCCCTGGATTGCTAACTGCAGAGTTGGCAGTTCAAACCCACAGCTGCTCCATGGAAACCCTGTACGTGGTTGCTATGAGTTGGAAATGACATATTGAAAGTTAACCTCAGACTTCATTACTTTATAAGTTAAAAAAAAAAAAAAAAGTTTGATCATAGTAGTTGGATATATTGCCTTGGGAAATTTTTATTTAATTTTGTTTAGCCAGGACTGACTTAATACTTATCAGAATTTAACAACACAACAGCATTACTATTATTGAATCAATACATTATTTGTAAAGCAAGAAGCAGTCTTTTCTCCTTAAAGGTTTAATAATTCAATTTCACTTCTTAGACAGAAAAGATAATGCTGAGTTGTTCATCAGTGATGATTTACCCTTGTACAACTTGATCCTCCTTTTTCCTGCTATCATCGAGTCTCTTTGTATATGATATAGGATTTCATGTACGATTGCCAAGGCTATAAATCTTCATAGGAACAGAATGCCTCATATTTCTCCATAAGAGCATCTGGTGGGTTTGAATTGCTGACATTGTGGGTAACAGTTGCAGTGCTTATCCTGCAGGGCCTTCTACAGAGCCATGATCAAGGCATTGTTGTTGGTGTTATTTTTAGGGCAGTGTGATCCAATTAGTTTTTAATCACAAAGTGATAGAAGGATAGCAGACACATGTAGCAAGAGAAACTACCATATTTGGTGTGTTGTTGTTATGTGCTATGAAGTCGGTTCAGACTCATAGCGACCCTGTACAGGGTTTCCGAGGCTGTAAATCTTTACAGGAGCAGAAAGCCTCATCTTTCTTCTGCATATTTGATATAGACCAATGCAAAACTCTCTAACCTTTCCTGTTTTTATTTTCTTGATGACTGGAGGTTACAATATGGAGACTTAATCTGTCATGAGCCTCTTCCTTTGCATTCAGTATTGATTTAACCTTCAATACGCTTTTATACTTTTCTTTAATAAGTACATTTTCCCCGACTTACTGGGTAATTTTGTACTATTGTTTATCAGTTATTCTTAATTTGTAAAAGTCAAATTTACATAGTTAAAAATGTGCCACAGTTAATTATTTTTTTTAGGCAGTAATTTAAACCTTAAAAATCAGTGAATGCCTTTGTTCTCTATGCCCTGTAAAAGTCACCACATGGAGGCTGCGCATTGGATTCCGTGATGGCATCATGGTGATGGGTTCCCTCATCCTATGATCTGCGTTTGCTTTGTCTTTAATTCTGTTTAAGATATAATAAAAAGTTTACATTTTATGCACAACGGAACAAAACACTGTCCAGGTCTCACAGTTGTTGTTAAGTTTGAGTCCATTGTTGCTGCCAGTTTGTTAATCCATCCTGTGGAGGGTCTTACTCTTTTTCACAGACCTTCCACTTTACCAAGATTGATGCCTTCCTTTAAGTACTGGTCCCTCCTAACTGCATGTCCAAAGTCTGAGAGCCGAAGTCTTGTTATGATCGCTTCTAAGAAGCATTCTGGTTGTACTTCTTCTTCTAGGACAGAATTGTTTGTTCTTTTGGCATTCCATG